TGAGTTTTCCTTTCCAGTTCTATCTAATTGCTATTCATTTTTTTCATATCTGTCTCTAATTCTCGGAGTAATATTCTTTGCTCTTCCTCTTTCCCTTCGGCCTTGAGGATTCCAAGTTAGGGTTTGCTTCGTGATGCAGTTGGGTGCTACACAGGCCATCCTTATCTGCATTTACTGGTGTGTGGGATACAAGAGTTAGATGCACAGTGGTGTATTCCATCAAGAATCTAGCCTGTTGATCTCAAATTTAGGCGTTTACTGAATCTCGCAACTTGATATGCTTGAAACTATTACGAGTTCACCTTAGTCGGTAAACGAGAGCGAGGATCCGTCGACACGACATGCTACTCTAATCCGATTGTCCTAAACCCCTAATGAATAGAAGAAGAATACTTGATATAAAGTAGAACATGTATTCTACAAGCATCCAGAATGTATGAGGTCCGAGTTCAGAATAGGATAAGGATCCCGGACTAGGGATCCGGATCGTAAAACGTTAAAGACAATGCATATTTATACAGTTAGGTCGAATAAGAACTACATTGTAGTCTGTGACATTGATAGTTAGGACGACCATAATATTGACCTGTAGGAACTAAACAATATGAATCGACCAATAAAAATTATTGACAATTTCTTGCATTTTATTATATTGTACTGTAGGATCTAAACTGAGGTTTGGATTGAGGAATAACTGTCTAGGTAGTGTAGATACGCGTCTTGCCCAATTTAAATCCAAAACAAGTGATTTGGGTAAATAATGGTTCTACTATTCATCATAAATATAAATATACATCGTCATTACCTAAACAATATTACCACTCAGCTATTCCACAATAATTGTTCAATTATTCAAATAAATGATATTCTATCCCTGGTGGATAGATCAGATTCGTTCAAAAGATAATATTTGGTTGCTTTATAACACAGAGTGTTTTTCCTATTCTGGAAGAGTGCTTCAATTCACAATCAAAATGCACAATTTCAGTCAAAGCAAGCAACACAATCAAAAGAGGAACAAATCAATATGGCTGTCACCATGACTAAGTATCACTACAGTTCAGAAAGAAACATAGAAACTCACTAAAGGCAAAAGAAATAGAAACTATAATAAAATACAAATATTATCATCATCTCAAAATGGAATCGAACAGACTAACAAAATGTACAACTGAAGGAATCAATAAGCACAAATTACAAAAGTAGGCATGGAGGGATTTTCACAAACAAAACCTTCAAAAATGGATCTTACAATAGGAACAAATTATATCAACAAAACCTTGGCTCGTTAAAACTAAAAATGAATAAAAACACCTAAAGAGAACAAAAACAGTGATTTGATCAAAATTCAACATGCATTCATTACAATTTTGTTTTGATTAGAATTCGATGCACAAAATAAAACAAACAAATCAATCATCAAAAAGTATGATTTATTGATTTTTATTTCTTTCGAAAAACAAGAGAATAAAGAAGAAAAAAAACCCACAACAAAATAACACAATACATTTACATTGTTTTATGATAGTACGCAATTACGATTGATTGTTCAGTTGAGTTGAGACGATGAGAAGATAACAGTTTCAATGAACAGTGAATAATAAATTTTTCATATTTTTTTTGTAATTCAGTACAGTCATAATGAAAAACATTTGAAATTATAAATATTTACGCGGAGGTTCAATGCAAATACTACTTACTAGCTAATAACTTATGAATACGAACTACCAGTGAAGAGTAGTTCTATACTGTTAGGGACGTTAGATCCCCAAACGTAGCTGCTGCCTTGATGTGGTGGTCGGGCTTGCCTATCGTGATGACCCAACCGAGCTATATTGGCTGCAACATATATTTCTGAAGGTCCTACCATGCAAGGCAGGTCGATTGGAGAACGATGAAACTAAAAGCAGCTACTGCAGGTCTGAAGGCGAAGTCTTACTGCTGACTGTTCAGAGAGGTGTGACAGCAGTACGGTGTTTCCCTCGGACAACCAGCGATGCTGTCTCCTCACAAAGGAAGGAACGGGTTAGAAAAGGTCAACCCTGAAAATATGACACCTCATGGAAATCGGTGAGGTAGAGTGAGGTGTGAAAGCTCGATTTGCGTCATTTATGGCTTAGGAGAAATATCCGTTCGCTAACCAAAGGACAGGTGTACTGCGCAGCAGTTCGCTCCGTTCTCCTAAATGGATGCAAAACATGGCCGACAAGAGTAAAAGATATTCGTAGGTAACTTGTTTTCGGTCATAGGTGTCTTCGAAGCATTGCTCGTTTATCTTGGGACTATCGAGTAACAATGCTGTTGTCAGGAGACGGACAATAGGTGAGGATGGTAGGTCAGTAGATGAAGTATTGAAACTTCATCAGTTGAGGTAGTTGGGACATGTATTATGAGTGCCCAACCATCAACTGTCTCGATGAGCTATGTTTTGTGGTGTTGGAGTAGGTTAGCAGAACCTAAACATGGCAGATATTCATGAAGTCACTAACAAGTAGACTGAGTCATGTTGATAGATGTGGGCTACTTGGCTGGTGTCCGCGAGATGATAATAATCGATGGTCAGAGACCCTGAGTGAAATGGCTCAGGTGCATCCACTCTTTGTGCTCTCGCAAATCCTAATCTTCTGGATTCGTCAACATCTCTACCTTTGTATTTCTAAATTTATTTCACTGAATTATACTTCTTGAATAGTATCTTCAAATCCTAATATTCTCCATTATCCGTAATTTTTCTACTATTTCTACCACTATTTGATTTGAATTTACGATTGCGTCTCTGTGCAAATGTGGTATGGCGATATGAAGTGCTTACGTATGAAGTTCTACGTTGCAACTAACTGACTGACTGACTTAGATCCCCAGAACTCACTTGGAGAAAGTCCTAATTTTGTTATTTTATTTTGAATTTTATGTTTTCGCGTCAAAGACGCTCATTTTGACCTTCAACTTGCATTTCCAACTCGAGAATGCTTGACTTTTATTGGTTAATGAATTATTTTAGTAAGCTATTTTTTATCATTGTATAAATAAGCTTGAGTTGTGTGCTTGTGGACCTCGTACTTTCTGGTTACCTGTGGAATACATTCTCTACGTCTTATCAAGACTTCTTCCTCTAGTAAGTGAGGCTTGGGACAATCGGATTAGAGTAGCCTATCGTGTCACTGCACCGTTGATCTTCGTTTTCTATACAGGGTAAGCTGAACTCGTAATAGAATTCAAGCATATTACATACCAGGGACAGAACGGCCATCTAAACAGTGCTTAGAGGCTTTTAGTGATTGTCTAGCATCGATTAACTCATGGTTTCAATGTAAGGAAACCATTCTACACAACCCTGTGATAAAAAACCATAAAATGTATTCCCTAGTGACTACCTTCATGGGAAAATTCTCGGAGTTCTAGTGAAAATTCGTGACCAGTGAAGTTTAACCCCATCGAATGTATGTGGTGACTACAGGTGAGGTCACGCAAAATGCTTAGATTGACCAGGATTAGACATTAACACCGTTAGATACCGGCTATGTGTTCCAGGGGTTAAGTGCTCACGTGCACGACCGAAGTTCCTGGGTCCGAATCCCTCAAATAATAGGCGTCACTCAGTCAGTTACGACGTGGAACATAAGTTCAGGTTGACATAACACATTAGCGCGGGGACGCACTTGTCATTTCAAATCCAACAGTGGTAGCCATAGTAGAAGTATTAGCATTAATGCACAAGATTAGGGAGCGAAGATATCATTCGAGAAGTATAATTCAGTGAGATAACTTTCCAAAGAGAAAGATAGAGATGATGAAGAATTCAGAAGGTTAAAATTTGGGAGAACACAAAGAATGAATGCACCTGCACCATTGCAAACGATTTTGAACCATATCATTCAAGGTCTCCAACCATCGATTATTATCATCTCGCGGGCCCCAACCACGTAGCCTACATCTACCAATATGACTCAGTTCACTCGACGGTAACTTCATGGATTTCTGCTATGTTTTGGTTTGACCGCCCCTAGCTTTCTTCCAACCTACTCCAACACCACAAAATATAGCTCGTCGAGGCAGCCGGTGGTTGGGCAATTGTAACACAGGTCCTAACCGTATCAAATGGTGAAGTCTCAATACTGCATCTACTGTTCTGCCATCCCAACCTAGAACTCGTTTCCTAACGACAGCGTTGCTCACTCGGTTGTCCAAGGATGTACAAGCAATGCTTCAGAGAAACCTATGATCGAAAACCATTAACCTACGAATGTCTTCTACTCTCATCGGCCATGTTTCGCATTCATACAGTAGGACAGAACGAACTGCTGCTCAGTAGACTCGTCCTTTGGTTAGCAAACGGATATCTCGCCTACGCCACAGGTGACGCAGGTTGACAAATGCCAATCGAGCTTTCTGTGTCCGTGATAAGATTTCGTCAGTCACCAGGTAATCAGCACTGATGAGACTACCGAGATAAGTGAAGCGGTCTACATTCTCGACTACTTCACTCCTTATCAATCAATAGGAATCATGCATGAGCACTGCCACTAATTAGTCAAACTCATCCTCCAACGAAACAACCATCTAAACTATGCTTCCAGATTTTTACTTATCATCTAAAACAATAACTGATGAATGATTTCAAACGTAAAAAACAACAATCCCCGTAATACATGTTAGAATAACTTGTGAATAAACTATTTTTATTCTAAGAAAAAAAAAATCTAAACAACCACCATATTATGTGAATGATTACAATCATGAAATAAAGGCATAAAGAAATTCACATGCTGCTTATACAAGTGGTGTACACTCAATGAATTTTCATTTGTGATAAAGATAGTAGAGTGAGTTGTTGGTGTTCGTGTTGTGGATTATTGATTTATTTCGTTGTGTTGTAGAAAGCCTCATCACCCTCACCATCATCACCATCATCAACAGCCCAACAATATCAATCATACTGACTTCCCTATTACAACAGGGGAATTCTATAACAACAAGGTAAGTAGACAACAAGAACAAATTCAACGAGTTTTAAATGCCATCTGTACAGGTAAACGATGTTTTAATTCTCTTAATGAATTTGATGTACTCATTGAATAATATATTTCTAATAAATTATTTTTTATACCTTTATTATAAAAATTACAATTATAATTCGGATTTGTGCGTATTGAAGAATTGTGATGTTTCAATTGTTGATTCCATTTTGATTGTTGTTGTCGCGTTATGGTAGAAGGAGTCATTGATTTTATCTTGGTCGATAACAACATTTCGTCAGTGTCGAACAAGGTCGAAGAACGTGAAGGCGAGGAAGGAGTATCATGACATATTCTCCTGTTCTTATTGATTGACTTCCGACTCTTCACATCATCATCGTCATGATCATCATGATCACCACGATAGCGAATCAATTTTTTTCGTTGAAAATATTCATATGATGTAGAATTGATAAGAATAAGCCATATATGAAATGTGAAATAATGCATCAGTAAGATGACAGTGACAATTAGAAGACTAGTCATGCCTAGAACACGTGGAAATGTCATGAATAAATGCTAAAACGAAAAATCAATATCAGGCAAAAAAAAAGAGAAAAACAAAGAGAGGGAGAGACGATGATATTGACAAAATGAAGTGACATGAATAAATTATGATTACTGGTGGACAAAATAATGTAGACACGTTTTATACACATATATAGGTGTACATGAGCTATGCATAACAAGTTAAATATATTTTGAAAACATGACTGACAAGTGATTATTGCTAACACTATGTGTATCCTGACCGTAGCTAAATCGATCAGTGATAGATCAATGTTTCAAATATGTCACTTAACAATCTTCACAACCTCGTAAAATGCAAATTACCTGTGCTCACTGGTGACTAGCTCCGTGAAGAATCTTCACTGAGTTCTAGTGAGAAATCGTGACCAGTGAAGTTCAACCTTTTCGGGTGTGGACAGTAACTACCGAAGACTATGTATGAGGCTGCTCAACTCCGTGAATTGATCGGAGTTAGACATTAACACCATTAGATACCGGCTCAGTGGTCCAGAGGTTAAGCGATCGCGCACAAGACCGGAGGTCCTGGGTTCGAATCCTGCGGGGTGCAGGAGTCGTGGGTGCGCACTGTTGATGAGTCCTATTCCAGAATGAAACGGCCATCCAGTGCTTGTAGGTTTCTAATGGTGGTCTAACATTGATCGATTCATGGTTTCAAAACAGTCTATGATTGACGTAATTTTGACTCAGATACTAAAAGATCGTTATCAAGCATGGTCATAGGAAATGCAGTAAATTTAAATCGCTAGTAGCGAACTACATACACCCTTGTATCATACAGCCACTCAAGAAGTACTGCTAAAGCTAGCTGTAGGATACTAAATGAAAAAGATGGATGGATTACACCAACTGACCTTTTGTAATGCAAAGTCAGATTACAGGAAATCAAACTAAAATCAGACATCATTCACGGTCATTGATTGAATAATCTGAGCAGTGTTAGGAAGTTGTTAGACATTTCTTGTTTAAGGTCTATGAGACAACTATGACTCACGAGTGTAGACCTTAGGGGCTATGAGTGAGAACAGATGGCACTAACAGGAATCGGTTAATTTGTGTGTCAACCTCAAAACCACCAGTATTTCTTAGCCGCTTACCAAAGTCATCCGAATTGGGTGTCTATATCTTTTTTGTTTACTTTTCAACTAATAACTGGAACTCCCAAAGAAGTTATACCCTCCCCCCTAGAGTTGTATTACCCAATCTTAAAAGAGCTGAAACTCTTCACGTGTGATTTTTCGAAACCAAATAAATCAATGACACAATGTTTGAATGCTTTCAAACTGTTGTGTATAATCACGATTACTCTTCAAGTACTAACGGAGGTAAAATAACTCAACATTAACATGAGTATGAAACCAAGGGTCAGGTGCTTTTTGCTAAAAAAAAGTCTATCTTTACAAAATGTTAGTGGGACATAGATGAAATGAAAGCATGACTAAGTTGCTGTGCGCTGATTGGCTAATTTTCTATCCAATCAGCGCCTGATCGATTCTTGGAGAACAAGGTAGAAAATTCTTGTGTTGTCAGCTGCGCGCTGATTGGCTAAATCTAATCCAGTCGATCACGTGAATCACTATCCAGAAGCTTCTCATATAAATACTATAAAGAAACTAACGTCGTATCTATTTTTGCCTTCGCTTTCGTATTTCCATTTAACCTTGCTATTTGGAATATAAATCTTTTCTTGTTCCACCGAGTTTTTGATTCTTTGGAACTTGTACAGTGTATTGTGACCAGAGAATACTAAGCAATAAGAATTAGCCGGGAATTATTTAAGCGAAGCGTTACAACGCAAAACAATACGCGAAGGCTACCAAAAAAACAATTAATAATCAATACTTGTATCAATGTGAACCAATCCATTGGGTGCATTTGATCATATTCATCTAAATAATGAGCTTGCCATAAATTTTCATGCTAGAAAATAAGACAAATAAACAAACACAAATGTAACTAAATAATTGAATGTTGAAGTTGTTTTACTGTACACGGAACAAAAAACTTTAAATTGTGAAAAGGATGATTATTTAATATGAACATAGTGAGGGAAAGTTGTAGCTCAGGTGGATGACGTTTTAGTTGTGGAGTTTGCAATGCTCTTCTTCTGAACAGAACAACATCATCATCAGCACAAATTTCAAGTAGAGAAGTGAAGTATTCGAATTGTCTCCACGTTTAACCCGTACCTTGTTCTGTTAACCTCGATCTTGATTGGTTGTTATTCACGTCAAAACCTGAGGTTGTTTGCACACTTGTTTTGATTGTATCCCTCTTTTTGATCCGTTTCTTAATCCTACGTTTGCCTATGATTTTTCTGATTAGTTGATAAATTGGGTCAATGTTGTGTGTTGTTGAGTGTTGATTGACCAGAGTGCCAAGCTTCTAAAAATTTTCTAATGTTCTTTGTACTCCCCTAATTCAGTATTTCCACATTGTTCCAATCGAATATATATCCATAGTTGCCCGTTTGTATTGATATAAGTGAAGAACTGTCATGGCGTTTGACTGCTAATTTGTGTTTACGTAAACGAAGCTGAAGAGGCCGTCCACTTTGTCCTATGTAGTGTTTTTCACAGTTTGAGCAATTTATTTTGTAGATGATATTTGGTTTTTCTTCCTTTGTCATTTTGTACTTTGGTCCACATAGGATTGATTGAAGTGATTCTGTTGGTTTTTGTGCCTTACTTATTCAAAATCGTTTCAATGGCTCATTTTTTGTGTGTTATGTTTTTGTCATTTCCACAGTAGTTCAACACATACGTACTTAGACATATGTGTTATTGGTTTAAATCACTCGTCTTTCATCTTTGTCCAATAAATCTGTCTTGTGACGTAGTTGGGACGGATTGTGATACTGATTGTAGGGATAGTCAGTCCTCATAAACCAATCTACTAGAGAAGGTTACGATCATATAAATTATGAAAGCATTCTAAACAGTAAAGATACATAGTAATGAAGTATTATTGCACTTGTGTTCGCTACTTTGATGAAGAACAATCCGTAAAACTCCGAAACAATTAACAAAGTGACCCATCGATGAGAGAAGTTGCTCAACTTCAACACAACTACTTTGTGATTGAAGAACTTTACAGAAAGTTTCGAGAAAGAACAAGATGGGACAAAGACCGAACAAATAGATTGACAATATTTAGCAAAAACATTAAAACTTATTTATGCATTGCACAGTGAACTGATCAATTGAATGTGTCTATTCACTTGACAGTCAATAAAAAAAATATTGATAGCATCAATTTTTTCTATATAAAAAAAACCCGACCGAGGCTGATACCTTGACGTGGTGATCGAGCTTGACTATCGTCATGACCCAAATGAGTTATACTGGCTGGAACATATATTCATGAAGGTTCTTCCATGCCAGGCAGGTCGATTGGAGAACGATGAGACTAAAAGCAGATACTCAAAGTCTGGGGGCAAATTCGTACTGCTGACTGTAGAGAGGTGCTGTGACAGCAGTAAGGTGTTTCCCTCGGACAACCAGCATCTACAGTGATGCTGCCTTCTCACAAGGAAGGAAGGAGTTAGAAATGGTCGACCCTAAAAATGTCACACCTCACCCTACCTCACAGATTTCCGTCTCCGTCGGTAAGGGCTTTTAAGGGTGGAGCTAATACTCAAAAAACCCTTCATGAAAAGGCCATGCGTGACCGGCCTCAAGCAGCTGTCCCTTAGACTCTGCGGCCACGCTCCCAGGTCGTTAAGAACAACGCTAATCTACCTTCCTTTTCAGGTTCCTGAAGAAACAACCTTCCACGGTGTGGGCAGCCGGGAAGTGACAACCGCCCTCATACACATAAAAGCACACGAGACAGAATCTGTCACAATCAAACCCTCCCTACACCCCCTAATACCTCTCTTATCTTCACGACTAATTCTTATTACATTCTTTTATCGCACTGTACAGCTAATGCAAACGATTCGAATCCTCGAAATGTTATTCCTGACTGACTACTGATAGAAAAAGAAGAAGCTTAACAAATTAAGTGATAACTTACAATAGAGAATAAATAAAGCATACGACAATTCAACCATAAAGTATTAAGAATCATTAAGCATAAAGAGAATAAAAATGATAAAAATAGGCCATGATTTTGTCCACCAATACAACAATTTGTCCAAACACAATGATGATCAAATCGAAATACACAATGATCACATCGAGCTGAAAAGTAAAGAAGAATAAAAAATATGGTATGGTATGACGTGCTTTCATTGAAAGCGCTGGTCAGCCGCTGCGTTTCAGCAGCTGGCATTCATGACCCGGCGAGCGAGAATCGAATCCAGGACCTTCGGTTTTACAAGAGTATACGCTTAGCCTTTGAGTTTGATTTTGGCTTGCAGGGTCATGAATGCTTACTACTGGTGAGTCCTCTATTTGAACAAAACGGCCGTCCAGTGACTCCAAGTTTCCGGTGATGGTCTAACATTGACCAGTTGATGATTTCCATAATAGTTATTTGTTGTTGGGGATGTCAGATTCCCAGAACTCGCTTTACAAATATCTTTATTTTGGATTTATTTCATGGACCGATCAGTTGACCTTGAGATCACATTTCCCACCAGGGAAATACTTGGCTATGATTGTTTACTGTGTCATTTTAGTGTGCTATTTTTGTAACTGCACCAAGGACGTCTCTATAGAGTATAAATAAATGCAATTTTAGTGCTTGAATTCATTGTGTGCTGGTTGGGTGTTTGTAGAATACAATGTCTACACTATATCAAGACTTCTTGCTGATTCGATTTGGTCAAGGAATCACATTAGCCTACCTGGACGCTGGTTCATAGTTTGTTCTCGTTATTCGACTAAGATGAACTCGTAATAGTTTAAGCATACCTAGAGACGAGCGTAACATTTGTGTATAGTGTACTTTTAGAGTAATTTCCTAAGAAAGCTTACTTACTTACTTACACCTGTTACCCCTAATGGAGTATAGGCTGTCGACCAGTATTCTCCTAAGAAACCCACCACAGTGATACTGATTAGATATATATACTGGTTGACCTGTAAAAACCAATCTTTTTTAAAAAATCAACTGTCACACATTTGGTGATGTCTGAGACTTTAAAGTTCCACTGTGAACAAGAGTCATTTTTAGTAGACTCTATAACACAATTGGTTAAAAAGTACACGTGTAGTCAGTATGCATGCATCTAATCAACCAATTCATGTGATCACCTACAACATTACAGTATTAATCTAATTTCATCGATTAAGTAGTAATATATACTTAGAGGTCTAAAGTGAGTTGGTTATCTGTGAAAAAAAATAAAAATAAAAACCTTGAACTTAACAGTACTGTAAAGGAATGTCAACAAGCATTGTGTAGTCAGCATAAATCGAGTCAATCAACCAATCGATAAATCGATAAGTAAATAATCTAAAAGTGATCCATACTACTTACAACAATGTTTCGCTCTAGCTGGAATTATATGACAACATATTTGACATTCTTTCGGTGAATAAATAAACTGATCATATTCATAAATATGTACATATACTGATTTATTACGTGATGTGATAAAACCTAAAATATGAAATATATATACCAACAAAAGATTATTTAAAATTACACAATAAACATTTATTTAATAATTCAAGTAAAAATATAAGAAATTATACAATAGTACAATTGTGGTGCGCGCTACTTATAAGTAGTATATGACGTGAGTAAATACGTAATGTCTGGTGGCAGCAGAAGATGAAGGGACGATCAACAAGAAAGGAAGAGTGGGAACACAATGGAATTTGTATGAAACGCATGAATAGTGAGCTGTCAGACAATGGATTGATGATGGATTGAAGATTTGCAAATTAACCGTTTACGATATATGGTTTTCCTATTTTACTGAGTAACTCTGTAATTTTCGTTAAATGCGATTCGGTCGCCCTCACCTGTGTTCTCCCTCACTACAGTACAATCACTGAATATGAATATTATATATATATTTTCAATAAAAAATGTCAACACTGTTATATCGTATGTGAAACTATCTCATCTTAAAGGTATAAGTGTTTAGTAACACAGTTGTCTACGCTAGATACCTACCTTTTCATCCGTTGGCCAGACATACCATTCGCGAAAACCTACTATGTTAGGGAATAAACTAGATTCCAGAGGAGGAAGAAGAAATCAGGTGGAGGTGGATGGATCGCACATTGAGGAAAGTACCCAACTACGTTACTTAGAATTCCCAACACTAGAGGGAAAGTGGAAGACCAAAGAACACATGAAGCCGAGA